AGTTCTTAGGAGAGTTTTGTCTAATTGGAGTTCCTTGTGGCATTTATAAACGTAGTCTTGTCTTATCGTATTCACTGTTGATTATTTGTTCGACTGGATTTACATTAATCCAGTCTGGGGGCAAACAGTGGTGAGGACGTCTGGCCGAGAGGTACCCAAGTGTTCATAATAACCCTGTGGAGTCAGAGCTCGTGTCACCTCATCCCTGAGACAGGTTGAATGGAAAGTTTGAACCGAGGGTTAGGCCTCTAGACGAACGAGAGCCACCATTCAAAACACTCCTGTCTCAGAGCACCTGAGGGATTTGTGAAAATATCCTGTAAGTAAGGTGCGCGACAAAACTGCCATACGACACACTGAACTATTCTGGTGAGCACATCGACAAACTGTTGACAGTTACACTGATTTATTCTAGTGAGCACATTGATGCTTGCCACTCACCAGCTGCCAGAGTGTGATGCCTAAAGAGAATATGTCTGCTTTGTTGGAAGGGAAGCTACCCCTCATTAATTCGGGAGCTCTGTACGGTAGAGTGCCTGTGGATGCAATAATAAAATACATCAGGATGTTCACGACATTACTACATACATACTGTGGGTCGCAGAGTGTGTGCCTGATCACGACATTACTACATACATATTGTGTGTCATATAGTGTGTGGCGGATCACGACATTACTACATACATATTGTGGGTTATAGAGTGTGTGCCTGATCACGACATTACTACATACATATTGTGGGTCATAGAGTGTGTGCCTGATCACGACATTACTACATACATATTGTGGGTCATAGAGTGTGTGCATGATCACGACATTACTACATACATATTGTGTGTCATAGAGTGTGTGCCTGATCACGACATTACTACATACATAGTGTGGGTCATATAGTGTGTGGCGGATCACGACATTACTACATACATATTGTGTGTCATAGAGTGTGTGGTTGATCACGACATTACTACATACATATTGTGTGTCATAGAGTGTGTGGTTGATCACGACATTACTACATACATATTGTGGGTCATATAGTGTGTGCCTGATCACGACATTACTACATACATATTGTGGGTCATATAGTGTGTGGTGGATCACATTTCATTAATGCACATTTTCACCTGTGTGTGTGGGTGGGTGTGTGTGTGCTTGTGTGTGTGGGTGTGTGTGCTTGTGTGTGTGGGTGTGTGTGCTTATGTGTGTGGGTGTGTGTGCTTGTGTGTGTGGGTGGGTGTGTGTATGCTTGTGTGTGTGGGTGGGTGTGTGTAAAGGTTAGAGTGTGTGTATGGGTGGGTGCACGTGTCTATTCGTGTGCGCGCCTACACACAGCATACAACAGTGATTGCTTTCACGCAGTAAGATTTTTGCAGAACGACTTTATTACGGCAAAATCGCAAGCTGGGCCGTGACTTCAAGTTATTACTACTTCTTTCTATGAGTGCTGTTCAAAATACTTTCTGTTACTTGATTATTATGTAACCGTCGTGGGCTCCAGTATAACTGTAATGTGTTTGAGCTGGACTTGTGTGATAATTAACTGTTTGAATCCCATCATGCAGCAACAATCCTCAGACTGCACTTGCATCCACAAGTACTGTGCTGGCTTGTACAGTCTTGTCAATTGACGTCCGCACCGACATCCCAGCACATCGGTCCCCGACCCATTCGTGCTCCGCTATTCGATGCAGAATCCTCTCCCTACAATCACCCTCAATAACCACCATTACATCCTGCAGTTACGCAAACTGTCTCAGCAATGACCACTACCACAACCATCACATCCTGCAGTTACGCAAACTGTTTTAACAACAACCACTACCACAACCATCACATCCTGCAGTTACACAAACTGTCTCATCAACAACCACTAGCACAACCATCACATCCTGCAGTTACACAAACTGTTTTAGCAACAACCACTACCACAAACATCACATCCTGCAGTTACACAAACTGTCTCAGCAACAACCACTAGCACAACCATCACATCCTGCAGTTACACAAACTGTTTTAACAACAACCACTAGCACAACCATCACATCCTGCAGTTACACAAACTGTTTTAGCAACAACCACTACCACAACCATCACATCCTGCTGTTACACAAACTGTCTCAGCAACAACCACTAGCACAACCATCACATCCTGCAGTTACACAAACTGTTTTAACAACAACCACTAGCACAACCATCACATCCTGCAGTTACACAAACTGTCTCAGCAACAACCACTACCACAAACATCACATCCTGCAGTTACACAAACTGTCTCAGCAACAACCACTAGCACAACCATCACATCCTGCAGTTACACAAACTGTCTCAGCAACAACCACTAGCACAACCATCACATCCTGCAGTTACACAAACTGTCTCAGCAACAACCACTAGCACAACCATCACATCCTGCAGTTACACAAACTGTATCAACAACAACCACTACCACAAACATCACATCCTGCAGTTACACAAACTGTATCAACAACAACCACTAGCACAACCATCACATCCTGCAGTTACACAAACTGTCTCAACAACAACCACTACCACAACCATCACATCCTGCAGTTACACAAACTGTCTCAGCAACAACCACTACCACAAACATCACATCCTGCAGTTACACAAACTGTCTCAACAACAACCACTACCACAAACATCACATCCTGCAGTTACACAAACTGTCTCAGCAACAACCACTAGCACAACCATCACATCCTGCAGTTACACAGACTGTCTCAGCAACAACCACTACCACAACCATCACATCCTGCAGTTACACAAACTGTCTCAGCAACAACCACTACCACAACCATCACATCCTGCAGTTACACAAACTGTCTCAACAACAACCACTACCACAAACATCACATCCTGCAGTTACACAAACTGTTTCAACAACAACCACTAGCACAACCATCACATCCTGCAGTTACACAAACTGTTTTAACAACAACCACTAGCACAACCATCACATCCTGCAGTTACACAAACTGTTTCACCGCAGGGAACAACTTTGCACTCGTGCGAGTGTGTGCGTGCGTGTGTATGTGTGTGTGCGCGCGTAGGACACGATGGTGGCTAGACAGTTGAATGAAAGAGATGAACCACAAGGCTGAAATGAAAGAGATGAACCACAGGGCTGAAATGAAAGAGATGAACCACAAGGCTGAAATTAAAGAGATGAACCACAGGGCTGAAATGAAAGAGATGAACCACAGGGCTGAAATGAAAGAGATGAACCACAAGGCTGAAATGAAAGAGATGAACCACAAGGCTGAAATGAAAGAGATGAAACACAAGGCTGAAATGAAAGAGAGGAACCACAAGGCTGGAATGAAAGAGATGAACCACAAGGCTGGAATGAAAAAGATGAACCACAAGGCTGGAATGAAAGAGATGAACCACAAGGCTGGAATGAAAGAGATGAACCACAAGGCTGGAATGAAAGAGATGAACCACAAGGCTGGAATGAAAAAGATGAACCACAAGGCTGGAATGAAAGAGATGAACCACAAGGCTGGAATGAAAGAGATGAACCACAAGGCTGGAATGAAAGAGATGAACCACAAGGCTGGAATGAAAGAGATGAACCAGATGGCTGGAATGAAAGAGATGAACCAGATGGCTTGAATGAAAGAGATGAACCACAAGGCTGGAATGAAAGAGATGAACCACAAGGCTGGAATGAAAGAGATGAACCACAAGGCTGGAATGAAAGAGATGAACCACAAGGCTGGAATGAAAGAGATGAACCACAAGGCTGGAATGAAAGAGATTAACCAGATGGCTGGAATGAAAGAGATGAACCAGATGGCTTGAATGAAAGAGATGAACCAGATGGCTTGAATGAAAGAGATGAACCAGATGGCTTGAATGAAAGAGATGAACCAGATGGCTGGAATGAAAGAGATGAACCAGATGGCTTGAATGAAAGAGATGAACCAGATGGCTTGAATGAAAGAGATGAACCAGATGGCTTGAATGAAAGAGATGAACCAGATGGCTTGAATGAAAGAGATGAACCAGATGGCTTGAATGAAAGAGATGAACCAGAAGGTTGAAAGGCGGGAATCATCCGTACGATGGCTTGGCTGAAATGATGATTTTCATAAACAGGATAATTGTCAGATGTGACATTCGCTACACCTTGCTATGAAAGCACTGATGACTCATATCTCATAGTGTCTTGTCTGGCCAGCCCCAGGGTCACAGACACGACTCTGGCTACCTACTACATACCTAACAGTTGAGTGAATTCTGTCTCTTCCCTGGGAACTCTGGCTACCTACTACATACCTAACAGTTGAGTGAATTCTGTCTGCTCCCTGGGAACTCTGGCTACCTACTACATGCCTAACAGTTGAGTGAATTCTGTCTGCTCCCTGGGAATTCTGGCTACCTACTACACACCTAACAGTTGAGTGAATTCTGTCTCTTCCCTGTGAACTCTGGCTACCTACTACATACCTAACAGTTGAGTGAATTCTGTCTCTTCCCTGGGAACTCTGGTTACCTACTAAAAACTACCAGTTGAGTGAATTATGTCTGCTCCCTGGGAATTCTGGCTACCTACTACACACCTAACAGTTGAGTGAATTATGTCTGCTCCCTGGGAAATCTGGCTACCTACTACACACCTAACAGTTGAGTGAATTCTGTCTCTTCCCTGGGAAATCTGGCTACCTACTACATGCCTAACAGTTGAGTGAATTATGTCTGCTCCATGGGAAATCTGGCTACCTACTACATACCTAACAGTTGAGTGAATTCTGTCTCTTCCCTGGGAACTCTGGCTACCTACTACATACCTAACAGTTGAGTGAATTCTGTCTGCTCCCTGGGAACTCTGGCTACCTACTACATACCTAACAGTTGAGTGAATTCTGTCTCTTCCCTGGGAACATCCTTTCTGGTGCGAGTCAGGCTGCCAAAGTCGCCGAGCTTGCACGTGTTGTCGGTGGTCATGAGAACGTTGCGAGGCTTCACGTCCAGATGGACCACGTCGTTTGTGTGCAGGTAGTTGAGACCCTTGCTGATCTGTTAGCCGGTGAAGACATGGCAATACTTGATCAAGCTGAATGTTCACAAGACAACAGATAAATCACATATTCCAGCCAGCTGTCTATTCAAGTTATATTTGCTGCCCAGATTTACTTATACCCCCCCCCCCCATGTGTGTACAGTAGCGATGGAAGGGGTGCTTAGGTCGCTTCGGTGTCATTACTGAGAGGGTATGACAAAATTGCCTAAAAAGGTGTTTTATTATTATTATATATATGTATATATATGGGGGGGGGGGGGGCGTTGGTAACAGAAATTCTGTTCCGTACTGGGTAACACTTAATGTTGCCACGCTGCTGTCAGTGTGTGCATGCTTCTGTGGTCGAGGCAGGTTCTGGTCGCAGAGACTGGACTGAGTCATTACAAAACTACTCTGTGGGTGGAGTGTAACTTCATCTTTCTGCCAGGGTACGCAAGTTTTGTTGACAATGAAAAATATGTTAGACTGGCGGGTTCTGCTTCACTTGCGTCTATGGATCGCGCCGAAATTGTTAACATCTGTACAGAGTTAGGACAGTCGAGAAATCTAAGATCAGCACATCGTCGCCAGGAATGCGAGAAGTACGAGTAAAGATCAGTATATCGTCGCTAGGAATGCGAGAAGTACGAGTAAAGATCAGTATATCGTCGCTAGGAATGCGAGAAGTACGAGTAAAGATCAGCACAGGAGGTACACTGGACGTATAAGAGATCTGATCAAGCAGCATAGGATTTGCACTATTAACCTCAGAACACTAATGCGATGCAATCGTTGTAATAGTGGTCATTGCTGAGGTGAAATCTGTGCATCTAAGGACGGGTCAGCAGTACCATGAAGAGAACACAAACTCAAAACTCTTTATTTACCACTGGATGTTATTGACAGATTTACCACTGGATGTTATTGACAGATTTACCACTGGATGTTATTGACATACCACTGGATGTTATTGACAGATTTACCACTGGATGTTATTGACAGATTTACCACTGGATGTTATTGACAGATTTAACACTGGATGTTATTGACAGATTTACCACTGGATGTTATTGACAGATTTACCACTGGATGTTACTGACAGATTTACCACTGGATGTTACTGACAGATTTACCACTGGATGTTATTGACAGATTTACCACTGGATGTTATTGACAGATTTACCACTGGATGTTATCGACAAAACAGAAATAAATGAAACAAGTTCTCGCATCCTCTCAAGATGGTAGAACTCGATCCTAAACCTTTCTTACTTTTTTTTTCGTCTTCTGCCTTTACTCTTGAAAGTACGGTCAGCACTTTGTATTGTGGCTTTCAGCTAGGCTGTGATATATGCACATTTCGGCCCAATACATCTAATTTTACCACAATCATAACTAGTCGCCTTTAACTGCACGCTAGTTATACAGATTTCGGAGGTACCGACCAGGTTCTCCCTCCATGGAACCACAGAAGGATCATGTCATTGATCTGCTGGCGTTGGGGCCACGACACTTGCTGATGTTTACCCACAGGTCTCTTTCAAGGTCTCTTATGTTTCCCCAAAACGTGGTTGTCAGTTCTATCGGGTGTGGCCGCATGATTCCAAGATCCACCAGGACAAAACAGCCTTGTAAGACATATTCTGGAGCCTGTTGAGCACAAAGACACTGGCAGAGAGCTGTGTGGATCATACCTAATTTATTTCAGCGTTTGTTGAGTCTGCAGTGTCCAGTGCGGAAACAACAAATCGTGACCGTGTTTATTATGTTCAGGTGATAGGAAATCTTGTTTCATGGTTATAACCAGTGTTAGCTTTCCAATCTTTTCCTGATTTCCTCTTAATGAGGGTTTTGACTTTTGGAAAAGATCGTGGCATGTAGATCTGCGGTTTGCTGCTGTCTTCTTTGGCTAAAGCGTCAGCACTTTCATTGCCTTAGATGCTACAATGTAATAAAATCCACTGTACGTGGGTTTCTGCCGTTTTAACAAATCGGCAAGTTAGGCATCATTGCACAAATCTTGACACGCTCCGAATAAAAGACACAGGTGTATTATTTCTTTAATTCTAGATCATCAATGTTGACTAAGAACAATTTTTTCAAAAAAAAATAAAAATAAAAAAAAAATAACCCTTGCCCCCAGGTCAACCCAGTCTTAAACTGGTAGCAAATGAAGTGACGGGAAGTAAAGATGGCCGACATTATCTTGACCCCATCAACACCTGAGTGCCGCCTGGTTTTACATAATTTATATAGGTCAAACTCTATATGCACAAGACGCCTAAATGCCTGTTAAATTGACCTTATCTTTTTGAATTTAGTGGAAGTTTTAAGAACTAGAATTAAAAGTGCACCCTTGGTTCCTACCTGCAGGGCAAACTTGAGCCTAGTGTCCAGGGTCACAGTCTCACTGCAGTCATCCAAGACCGACTGCAGGGTCCGAGGACTGACCAGCTCCATGACGATCAGGGCGTCGCCTCGCAGGCCGTCACAGAGGTTCAAACCCAGGATACCTGGGGACAGTCAAGGCAGGTGTCACACGACTGACATGTCAAACACAAGAATGCATTTTATGACATCTAGAAGATTCTTACCGGTGCCACGGTGCACCCATTTACACCCCTTTTTTTGAAGATGTGTATAAAGCTTTGACAATTCTTGGTATCTTAATGTAGTTTGCCATGGATTTCTTTCCTGGCAGTGATCATGAACTAATCGCCATAAGATCTAGGAAAATAGATCTAAAAAATACTGGATGCTTTGACAAGACTGGTACTAAACAACGGGACAGATGTGGGTACTAAACAACGGGACAGATGTGGGTATTAAACAACGGGACAGATGTGGGTACTAAACAACGGGACAGATGTGGGTACTAAACAACGGGACAGATGTGGGTACTAAACAACGGGACAGATGTGCGTCAACAAGATCTCATACACTGTTAGCATATCAGATTATGCTAATTAAGAAATAAAGCAATAAGGCACAGTAGCTGGTGTGTTTGCTTCTCAAACTACTGCTGTGGGGTCAATGCTCTATTTTCACACGACCTACCGGTTTTACACATAAATATGCATTATCATCATCAGGTGCCTTGCCGACTGGAGTGGGCGATCATGCCTCTTCACAATCTGCGATCTAATGCAGCATGTATCAGTTCGTGTGCCGACACACCTCCATGCCATGCAACAAGACTGTCAAGCATCTTCTCTCGTTGTCTTCCTCTATCTCTACTTCCACAGCTCTTTCCAGTGGTGACAACATGTTCCATTTTTCCTCTTCTCATAACATGGCAGAAAAAAGATGACTGTCTCCTTCTGATGTCTGTGATAAGTTAATTTACATGCATATACAACATAACCGAAAACTTTGGTTACCTTGCCAGGATTCGAACCTGTGGCCTCCAAATGATGACTGCTCCTCGCCATGGAAACACATGGCTTATGATACATGACCAAATAGGCAACCATAAAACAAGGTAACTACGTTGGCCATATCTATCGTTTAGCTTAAAATCCACAATTGTGGAATTTGGACAAAATTCGTCTCAAACCGTTCAAATGGCACCATAGGTTACAGTTATTTGTTTTAACCAAGCATAGGTTGAATGACAAACATGTCACGTGGAGGTGACAGGTTCGAGTCCCGACATGGTAACGATACATCAGATTTTTATGTTGTCTATTGTGTCGTATCTTTTACTGATAGCACAGGCTGGTAATGAATATGCCTTGTATGAGATGTTTCTTTGTGATGATTGGGAGTGCCTTATGTTGTACAGGAGCCTGCTTTAATGTATCGAATGTTAAATTCTTTGTCCAGTTGACCAACTTCTGTGAATGTTGTTCCAAGATTTGTAAACTCAGATGCCTGTTTAATATATGTATACTCTATCTTATTTGATTTATATTTTTCAGCCATGGATGTGAGCTGTTGTTGCATATTCATGGCTGTATCTGCAATCAAGGCCTGGTCTTCAGCAAAGAGTCATTCGTTGACAATACTATTATTTTCGTTCCTGGGCCTGGCATCCTAGCTTATACTGTCCATGTAGTTGATAAACAGGAGTGGTGATAAGACACCTCCTTGTCTTACTCCAGGTTGCACTTTGAATGGTTTAGATGTATCCTGGTTTATTCTACGCTTCTACAATCTCTGTAAAAGCTTTTGCAAACTGCAATGAGGTGTTCACTTACTCCATATCAAGCTATTTGTTTCCATAACTGTTGTCTATTGACCCTGTCAAAAGCTTTTTCCTAGTCTATCCTAGTCTACAAAGGCTATAAATAAGTTATTATCATATTCGATATTCTTTATACAAAAGATTCAACATTTAATTTAGTCTCAGATTTTAAAAAATTCAAATTATAATGGCTAATTCCATTTCTAAATAAAAGAGGGTATCATTTTGATTAAGCAAAACATGTCATCCGCAAATCTAAGCTGTGAAAATGATGAATTCAACATTCTCAGATATCAAGTAGTTATAAGATCAGTCTGGTTTCAGCTGACAACAATCTCCCATTTCTGTCATCTGAATGTTGGTCAATTCTTCTAATTTAATTAATTATATGCAAAGTAATGTAGATTTAACCATCTTGCCTAATAACCCAAAATTGAAAGTTTGAACATATTATGGATTTTATCACTTTCTAGATTTTATCAATGACGTAGATTTAATAACATTGTAGATTTCACTATCTTGTAGATTTAACCATTTTGTAGACATAAGACTTGTAAATGTAAGCACCGTAAAGGTTTAACATTGCCAGTCATTAATAAAAACCTTATTATGAAATCTGATTGGACATAATCGAACCCTTTCCTGTTTCCAATGTTTCCCGTGTTTCCAATGTTTCCCGTGTTTCCAATGTTTCCCGTGTTTCCAATGTTTCCCCTGTTTCCAATGTTTCCCGTGTTTCCAATGTTTCCCCTGTTTCCAATGTTTCCCGTGTTTCCAATGTTTCCCGTGTTCAGAGACTGGCGTTATGATCCATTATTCCGCAGCCCGGTCCCCCAACTTAGGGTTTGAACAGCCGAGCACTGTGTGTGGAGGCCAGAGAACTTACTGATCAAGAAAGCATACTTACTGATGATGTTCTCATGCCTCAGATGGAGTGAGAACGCAAGTCTCTCTGCCTGCAGGATCTCGCGATGGATTCCGGAACCCCTTCTCTTTTGCACCACTTTGATGGCCACTGGTCGCCCATGGATGTGTCCTGATCAAAGACAACAAGAACGGTCAGCTATAGTCGGACAGCTGGGACGCAACAGTAACGCCCCTTGTAACACTAAATTGCAAAACTACACCAGTGTCATTGATGTCGGCTGATGTGGAGATGTAATTTTTGAGAAGAATGCAAAGAATATCCTGGAGTGATAAAGAAACAAAGGAAACATTCCTCATTGAGACAGGTCAAAGTCGTAAATTGATTAGAACAAAAGATGAACATAGTCGTGAGTGTGTGGTGTGTGTGTGTAGTGTGTGTGTGTGTAGTGTGTGTGTGTGTGTGTGTGGTGTGTCGTGTGTGTGGTGTGTCGTGTGTGTGTGTGTGTGTGTGGTGTGTGTGTGTGTGTGTGTGTGTGGTGTGTCGTGTGTGTGTGTGTGTGGTGTGTGTGTGGTGTGTGTGTGTTGTGTGTGTGTGTGTGTGGTGTGTACGTGGTGTGTGTGTGTGTGGTGTGTGTGGTGTGTGTGTGTGTGTTGTGTGTGTTGTGTGTGTGTGTGGTGTGTACGTGGTGTGTGTGTGTGGTGTGTACGTGGTGTGTGTGTGTGGTGTCTGTGTGGTGTGTGTGTGTGTGTGCGTGTGTGTGTGTGTAAGTGAGTTTGATATGTTACGACAAGGAATGAACTCGCGAACATGGTCACAAGTTGTAAAAAGGATGAAAAGAGGGCAAAAGGAAGACAATGTAAAACGTTCCTGAATAACTTGACCAAAAAGACAGGGGTTAAAAACAGACCTGATCCGTGAGTATGGCGATCGTGTGACAGCCTACGCTTACCGACACGGCACAATGATGATGTTGCCAAGAATGCTGGCTTTTCATGGATAAGTCTATTACTTGCAGGAGGCCAGAAATGGATCATGGATAAGTCTATCTACTTGCAGGAGGCCAGAATGCTGGCTTTTCATGGATAAGTCTACTCTACTGGCTATTCATGGATAAGTCTGTCTACCTGCAGGAGGCCAAGAATGCTGGCTATTCATGGATAAGTCTGTCTACCTGCAGGAGGCCAAGAATGCTGGCTATTCATGGATAAGTCTACTTGCAGGAGGCCAAGAATGCTGGCTTTTCATGGATAAGTCTATCTACTTGCAGGAGGCCAAGAATGCTGGCTTTTCATGGATAAGTTTGTCTACTTTAGGGTGGTGTTGACCACATCCCCTCCCCCCGCACCCTGAGTGCCGAATGGTCTATAAAATGTAGGTCCAGCCCTATATGCCTGGAAGTGTGGAAAGCTGTCTTTTTCTGGACTTTACTGGCGACTTCTTGTTAACAACGTGTGTTCCGGCGACTACAAGTTTATAATCAAGTTTTCCCTGTCCTCTAACTTTCTGGTCACGTGTGCGCTAGCGGCCAATCATTGGTCACCCGTGCCTCCTTCTGACTAAATAGTTTAACCCGCAACTGGGCAGATTCAAACATAATCAAATCTGATCTGAACTTTTTGTTTTTCTTTATAAATGTCCATAAACAAAATTGCAAGTCAACCAAAAATGACAGAAATCCATGAATGAAACATAGCACAGACATGTGATACCATGGTTGCATAGTTAAAACAACGGAGACTCTTCCACAGAAGACAAACTCAGGCTAATCATAACAATGTTTTCGCAGTTTAACCCCTTCATATTTGCATTATGTAGTAATTACATCTGAAAAACGAGAATCAAACGGCAACAAATCCCGGAAACCGCGTTCAGACGTATAGTCACACGACACCGCTCTACCGGGTCACCACAAAACGGTTACCAATTAACCTGTAGTCGAGTGTGTGTGAGAGAGAGGGAGGGGTGGTTGGAGGAGGGGAGAGTGACTTCTTTAATTGCTCGGTTCCATGGCTACTTCAAGATTGGTGTTGTTTTCTTAAATAAAGTTCAAGAATAATTAAGAACGGTAGATAATAGTATACATCAAAGAGCAGCCTGGTCAGGGAGAGGGGGGGGGGAGACAAATTGATCACGGTCAACTACAAGCGATGTAACTGTCAGTGAATGAGGAGACTGTTGCCACTTGCCAGAGAACGAATGTAATTGAACTCGGCGGGGCCTCATCTGTGCAAGCTTTATGATTCTTTCAAGTGAAACAACCACCTTATTGTTTAACTGTATGTAATTGTGATTCTCTCCCTTGTCAACAAACGTTACAGGAATCGTCTCAAGCAAATACGATTGGTGAAATATGGTATCCCACCGTCTATACTGCCATTTGTTATTTGGGTGCAGCAATGAGAAATCTATGGAACATAAATGTATTGGAAGTTAAACAAATTAGTAGCATGTTCCCCTATCTTACAGAAAGAGTCTTTGGTGTCATTACATTGAGAGCATCAGAACAAGGCTTTGATCAGTCCTGGAAGTTGTTTTTACCACCTGGAAACAAATCACGCGGCTCATAAATGAGACACCATATGTGGCGAATAACAGCAAGAGAAGACAGAGAAACAAGGCGGTAGGCTTGATGCTACACCGTGTCGTGGTTGTATGGTGTCGTGGTTGTATGGTGTCGTGGTTGTATGGTGTCCTGGTTGTATGATGTCGTGGTTGTATGATGTCGTGGTTGTATGGTGTCGTGGTTGTATGGTGTCGTGGTTGTATGGTGTCGTGGTTGTATGGTGTCGTGGTTGTATGGTGTCGTGGTTGTATGATGTCCTGGTTGTATGGTGTCCTGGTTGTATGATGTCGTGGTTGTATGATGTCGTGGTTGTATGGTGTCGTGGTTGTATGGTGTCCTGGTTGTATGATGTCGTGGTTGTATGATGTCGTGGTTGTATGGTGTCGTGGTTGTATGGGGTCGTGGTTGTATGGGGTCGTGGTTGTATGGTGTCGTGGTTGTATGGTGTCGTGGTTGTATGATGTCGTGGTTGTATGGGGTCGTTTGTATGGTGTCATGGTTGTATGGTGTCGTGGTTGTATGATGTCGTGGTTGTATGATGTCGTGGTTGTATGGTGTCGTGGTTGTATGGGGTCGTGGTTGTATGATGTCGTGGTTGTATGATGTCGTGGTTGTATGGTGTCATGGTTGTATGGGGTCGTGGTTGTATGGTGTCATGGTTGTATGATGTCATGGTTGTATGATGTCGTGGTTGTATGGTGTCGTGGTTGTATGATGTCGTGGTTGTATGATGTCGTGGTTGTATGGTGTCGTGGTTGTATGGGGTCGTGGTTGTATGGTGTCATGGTTGTATGATGTCATGGTTGTATGATGTCGTGGTTGTATGATGTCGTGGTTGTATGATGTCGTGGTTGTATGGTGTCGTGGTTGTATGGTGTCATGGTTGTATGATGTCATGGTTGTATGATGTCGTGGTTGTATGGTGTCGTGGTTGTATGATGTCATGGTTGTATGATGTCATGGTTGTATGGTGTCATGGTTGTATGATGTCATGGTTGTATGATGTCGTGGTTGTATGGTGTCGTGGTTGTATGGTGTCGTGGTTGTATGATGTCGTGGTTGTATGATGTCGTGGTTGTATGGTGTCGTGGTTGTATGATGTCGTGGTTGTATGGGGTCGTGGTTGTATGGTGTCGTGGTTGTATGATGTCGTGGTTGTATGATGTCGTGGTTGTATGGTGTCGTGGTTGTATGGTGTCGTGGTTGTATGGTGTCGTGGTTGTATGGTGTCGTGGTTGTATGGTGTCGTGGTTGTATGATGTCATGGTTGTATGATGTCGTGGTTGTATGGTGTCGTGGTTGTATGGTGTCGTGGTTGTATGATGTCATGGTTGTATGGTGTCGTAGTTGTTTGGTGTCATGTCTAGTCCATCAGGTTGAATACTATTGTATCATGGTGCCAGTTCAATAAAAAACCGATGCCTCTCTTCTCTTAGCATCTGCAGTTATTTAGCATCTCTTCTGTTTGTCCTATCGCAGTTCTGTGTTTCAATGCCACATTGATAAACCGACAGTCTGCTTCGGGTACTGCATCATCCCACTTCCTACCCAATCTCTCGGGGTCAGCTGATGTATGACTCCAAGGATCAGCTTCTGAGCCAAAGCACCGCTATTCTTGCAGTTGTTTGTGAGGCCAACAAATCCGAGCACTGAATTTGAGAGAAAACGCTCAGTTGACAATCCCTAGCTGGACATTTGAATTCATATAACACTGACCGAGCCGTTTGCTCCCGGCTTCGAACAGCTTAGCTAGTGCTATAGGCGACTCAGTTGAGTAAATGACTACAACTGATGGGAAAACAATGCAGCATTTATGAAGCGCAAGCAAACAAACAAGTTTCATAGAGGCGATGCCGTTCCCATGTGGGATGCAAATTTTTGTTATTTGAAGCCTCACCCTAGCTTTTGTTGGGGGCCCTAAATATAGCGGGGCCATAGATATGGCCTAACGGCTGAACGGGGTTTCTGGGACCTCTCCTCGGGTAATCTTTATCCGGATGGTTGCACAAAGTGCCACCAGGTATTTATCGCTTTGTGTGATGTCCTGGTGGGGTACAACTTAATACATACCTACATACATGAAAGAAATTTCTCATCACAGGCACTGGTAAAGAAGTGATTATAGCAAATTAGTCATCCTACCAGCAGACTGCTTAGAAAATTGTATCAGGATAAGTCGAGCAGGAAACTGTAGACAACCTTTCTAAGCAATAATCAGCAGTTTCAAATACATCCGGAAAAAGATAGGCCATCAGGCGAGACAACCCTTGCAGTAACAGGACCCTGTTTCTAATAGAAGCAAGTTCCGCAACTTGGTATCTTTGATCTGAAAAGGGGTTCGCAATCTACACCCCCCTTCCCCTCGAAACATTCTTTATAGCCCTTTATTTTTATCGGGAATTAGCAAAATCACATGCAGAGTGACCCATCAGCTAAACAATACATGAGTTGCATGACACGACAAGCACAATCACATGCAGAGTGACCCATCAGCTAAACACTACATGAGTTGCATGACACGACAAGCACAATCACATGCAGAGTGACCCATCAGCTAAACACTACATGAGTTGCATGACACGACAAACACAATCACATGCAGAGTGACCCATCAGCTAAACACTACATGAGTTGCATGACACGACAAGCACAATCACATGCAGAGTGACCCATCAGTTAAAGACTACGTGAGTTGCATGACACGACAAGCACAATCACATGCAGAGTGACCCATCAGCTAAACACTACATGAGTTGCATGACACAAGCAGAATCACATGCAGAGTGAACCATCAGCTAAACACTACATGTATTGCATGACACGACACCTACCTGTGTGCACTTTACCAAAGCCACCTTTCCCAATGACGGCACCAAATATGATGTCCTTCCTCCAGACTTGTGGCAGCAAGGAGGAGCGACGCAGGGATGTACGTACAGGTGATCTGGTCAGCATCTGGTCGTTGAGTGCTAAACTGCCCAAATGATCTGTCTGGTCATCCAGGGACAGGGAAGATATGCTGGGACTGAATGCGTGTGTCTGGGCACATATTGGAGAGTTTGACGAAACGATATCACATTCGTTTACATTAGGATCTTGATAGCTGGCTACATCTGTTGGTTTGTGAGACGTCAGGTTGAGATTCTCAGAAACAAAACGTCCATTTGAAGATCCTGAACTTGATATCTGAATAGGAGACTGTTTCTGATCTTTTGCCTCGTCGGGAGACTCAAATATGGGGCTGGTGGCGATGAATCTAAAGAACGTGGTGTTGGCGATTAATCCTGCCAGGTTGTGCTGGGTCACGTGTGGTTGAGTGCGACGTGCAGACGATGCCGGCTTGGGGCACGTCTGGAAACATTGGCCAACTGACTGGCTGGACGGGGTAAAGGTTTTAGAGATGAGCTGTCGAAGCAAACTGGGTTCATTGCCGTTGAGTTGGCTGTGAAGGATATTCATCGCTGAATACTTTTGTAGAGCGCGGCTTGGCGCTCAGGACTGGGCGGGTTCCAGCTGTGTGAAGATAGCAGAGTAAGACAGATTCAGTATACTAATGAAATGGGACGTACATCTGAAAGGGTTTTTCATGGCATCATGTCCGTGATTATGATGAGGAACGGAGGCAATGTCGACAGCGACTGACTACAGGTAATGTCCATGGTTACAGGTAATGTCCATGGTTACAGGCTACAGGTAATGTCCATGGTTACAGGTAATGTACAGGTAATGTCCATGGTTACAGGCTACAGGTAATGTCGATGGAGACCTCGACTGATTGACATCAAATTTGTAGGTAGCTTAGTTGACTGATTGATTAACTGATTAATAACTATGTATAGTCTACACTGTTACATTGAGACGATTGTAATCTGTGAATGCGTAGTTGGAGAAACATTACCGCTGGCTAGTGTGGGTACACACCCAAACAAAACAAAACAAAAAGGGGTAGAAGGGTGAATTTCGTGGATGGGAATATAGTCCTTAACTAAGTATGAAGAGGCGACTAATAACCGAGATAGAAGTTTCCGTATATACATTTTTAGGTGTAATGTAACACATAGGAAGTATCTTTTATAACGTGGCCCTTTGTCGTATACGTGTGGTAGCAATGTACAAGATCTTCACAGACGACAAGACTGTAAAACACTATACAGATGACAAGACTGTACGACACTACACAGATGACAAGACTGTACGACACTACACAGATGACAAGACTGTACGACACTACACAGATGACAAGACTGTACGACACTACACAGATGACAAGACTGTACGACACTACACAGATGACAAGACTGTACGACACTACACAGATGACAAGACTGTACGACACTTCACAGACGACAAGACTGTAAAACACTACACAGATGACAAGACTGTACGACACTACACAGATGACAAGACTGTACGACACTACACAGATGACAAGACTGTACGACACTACACAGATGACAAGACTGTACGACACTACAACTTTGGTACCGATTTCATAAACGACACTACAACTTTGGTACCTATTTCATAACTCTCATATTGATTATACCAATCACAGCCTTGACCACAGAAGTCATGTCCCTCGTCTATGGTCTGTTTACTGTCACACTACAGTCTGTTTACTGTCACACTGCAGTCAATTTACTGTCACACTGCAGTCTGTTTACTGTCACACTACAGTCTGTTTACTGTCACACTACAGTCTGTTCACTGTTACACTGCAGTCTGTTCACTGTCACACTATAGTCTGTGCACTGTCACACTACAGTATGTTCACTGTCACACTATAGTCTGTTCACTGTCACACTACAGTCTGTTTACTGTCACACTAGTCTGTTCACTGTCCCACTACAGTCTGTTCACTGTCCCACTACAGTCTGTTCACTGTCCCACTACAGTCTGTTCACTGTCACACTACAGTCTGTTCACTGTCACACTACAGTCTGTTCACTGTCACACTACAGTCTGTTCACTGTCACACTACAGTCTGTTCACTGTCACACTACAGTCTGTTCACTGTCACACTACAGTCTGTTCACTGTCACACTACAGTCTGCTTACTGTCACACTACAGTCTGCTTACTGTCACACTAGTCTGTTTACTGTCACACTGCAGTCTGTTCACTGTCACACTACAGTCTGTTCACTGTCACACTAGTCTGTTCACTGTCACACTACAGTCTGTTCACTGTCACACTTCAGTCTGTTTACTGTCACACTAGTCTGTTCACTGTCACACTATAGTCTGTTCACTGTCACACTAGTCTGTTCACTGTCACACTACAGTCTGTTTACTGTCACACTCAGTCTGTTCACTGTCATACAACAGTCTGTTCACTGTCACACTAGTCTGTTCACTGTCACACTACAGTCTGTTCACTGTCACACTACAGTCTGTTCACTGTCCCACTAGTCTGTTTACTGTCACACTACAGTCTGTTTACTGTCACACTACAGTCTGTTTACTGTCACACTAGTCTGTTCACTGTCACACTAGCCTGTTTACTGTCACAATACAGTCTGTTCACTGTTACACTACAGTCTGTTCACTGTTACACTACAGTCTGTTCACTGTCACACTACAGTCTGTTCACTGCCACACTATAGTCTGTTCACTTTTACACTACAGTCTGTTCACTGTTACACTACAGTCTGTTCACTGTTACACTACAGTCTGTTTACTGTCACACTACAGTCTGTTTACTGTCACACTAGTCTGTTTACTGTCACACTAGTCTGTTTACTGTCACACTAGTCTGTTTACTGTCACACTAGTCTGTTTACTGTCACACTACAGTCTGTTCACTGTTACACTACAGTCTGTTCACTGTTACACTACAGTCTGTTCACTGTCACACTACAGTCTGTTCACTGTCACACTACAGTCTGTTCACTGTTACACTACAGTCTGTTCACTGTTACACTACAGTCTGTTCACTGTCACACTACAGTCTGTTCACTGTCACACTACAGTCTGTTCACTGTCACACTACAGTCTGTTGACTGTCACACTACAGTCTGTTCACTGTCACACTACAGTCTGTTCACTGTCACACTACAGTCTGTTCACTGTCACACTACAGTCTGTTCACTGTCACACTACAGTCTGTTCACTGTCACACTACAGTCTGTTCACTGTCACACTACAGTCTGTTCACTGTCACACTACAGTCTGTTCACTGCCACACTACAGTCTGTTCACTGTTACACTACAATCTGTTCACTGTTACACTACAGTCTGTTCACTGTCACACTACAGTCTGTTTACTCTCACACTTACAGTCTGTTCACTGACACACTACAGTCTGTTCATTGACACACTACAGTCTGATATGATGTATTAAAACAATATCATACTGACTCAAAATCATTTAGAGAAACAAAACATTTCCAAACAAAATATTTAATTGAATCAAACACGTTACGATAATTTAATCCGCATGACAGGCATTTCCTGGAAGAATTTTAAAAAATAACAACATATTATAAAATAAATATAACGTAACTGCCAGAATACAAAACTTTCTATTTGTTGAACAATCACAAGAGGGATTGTGGACATCTCGTTTTCGACGTACTCACCGTTGTCAGGAAGCCACTTGAGAGTAATGCAGCATGCACACAAGTGGAGACAATCCACTCAAACTAAACCAAACACAGGGCGTAACGTCCGCGTGACCTACTTATTGTTTGCACGACAATAATTTCTCCCCATCATTTACATCCTGAGTCGAGAAGTTTGACGATATCAGCTGAAACACAAATCTTGTTGATACAGTTGGTGAAGTTTCAAAGAGACAGCCCGTGATTGCTCCAAGTTGTTGTGCTGATCTGAACTCTACTTACATCAAGTGACCCCGGTCTAACTGAGCGCCACGGAGCTGGGTTAGTTTCACACGTAAACCAAGTGAGAAGTTGTACGTTCAGCTACAGTCAAACAGTGGCTTGCCTGGTAGCAATCAAGTGTGTCCTTACTCACTGGACCGAACATATCAATATAAGTCCAGTCACTGGGGGAAAGGCGTATAGACGGGAGTTTCAACAGAGTATACTACAGAAGTTGTTTAGGTGGCAGAATGGTAGTACAGAAAAAGTTTGATATGGAAGTTTGAGATCAAACCCTGGAGAGCCGTCTTACATTGCGATAGTTCACGTGTTGTAAAGATAGAGAGAGAGAGAGAGAGAGAGAGAGAGAGAGAGAGAGAGAGAGAGAGAGAGGGTGGATGGACAGAGAGAGAGAGAGAGGATGGACACAGAGAGAACACACACACACAGATGGACAGAAAGAGAAGACACATACACAGACACACAGATAAGATTCATACATACACAGAGAGAGTGAGAAAGAGAAAGGAGAGAGAGGAAAGCACATGTATTTATCACTTTATGTGAGTGTTGGTATGAATCTATGGGTATTATATTTTTGTG